TGTATGTGTGTGTGTGTGTGTGTGTGTGTGTCCGCGTACGTGTGTGCATGTGTGTACCTCACGGGGTCTTCACTATAACCAGTGAACGGTACTGTAAGTCACCCTCTTTACTTTTGTTCGTCAAACAGTAGTTTCAGAAACACGATATCGTGGTTTACTAACTCCTCTAAATCATCATAATTCCATTCCAATAAATACGCATCATTCGCACTGAGAATATGAGAAAACGTCGTATAAAGAGAGTCCCCTTGAGTCTTACTTCTGCATCTTCACGGCGTAAATCACTTTCGAAAGCAATAATTACACATTCTCACCTCTGGCGTGAACCACCTTCATACACAGACCTCGGTAGTTGTCAGCACAGTTTATGGGAATAGGTCTGACGTGCATTGGCGCACAAGCAGTCAAAATTACACATAAATAATAAATGAAAGGTCCCCTGGCTGTCGGTGGGGGCCAGAATGAAGACGTCATGCGGACCCTTACAGCCACGGAATGACAAGCAGGTTTCGATCCCGTTAGCCTCACGAAACTGCCATGTATTTGTTACCTTATGACCATTGTTCAAGACGTCTATTGTTGCCCTTGGTTTGTTTACACCCGCCGCCATATGGGTACCCAGTGTATGTATGATGACTCTAAACAGACCCAGATAAACACACACACACACACACACACACACACACTTAGTCGTCAGAGGTTCATTTAACTAATAAGGCTCTAAACTTTTATCTCCAATAGAATCTTTTATGGGTTTTCTATAATCATTCTCTTTCTCCTCAGTGATCAGTCACCATATAAACACGCCAGCACATGTTAACTTTTCTTTCAAGCAATTGTTACAAAAAAAATCACCAGTAATAAACATGACAGTTAACATTGCACCCAGACAGCCATCTCTAACAACCAGGAATACTTCATGTCTATATTAACTATTTATCTATATCCACATTTTTTATATGACGTAAAAAATAAAGGATAAGACATAGTTTCTCTTATTTATTAAACATCTGTAGAGATTATCATCAAATATGCAAATCAGAGCAGCCAGTGTTCGAGAGGATATGTTCAACACTAACACTACCTGAATTATTCCCTCACAGTACCTGAGTCTTATTTAAAACTCGGTGAAAAACCCTTAGCAAAAATTCCTAAGTTATTATGATCAAACTAAAACCACATAATTCTAAACATTCCAAGTACAGTATATCCAAAACAGATATCATAATGTTCTGACGTTATCAATTTCGGAGGAAGACAATGAACCAAGTTTCACGCTAAAACAAACTCAATATCGAGTAACTATAAACTACAAAATAAAAAACAATAAAAGTTAAAACTCAGTTACACAGGGCAACCCTTCCTCAAAATCAAAACATTAAGAAATTCAAAATACCGGGTAACATCCCCGCCGGGAAGTGAACGCGCAATATAATAAAGATGTCCACTTCTTGAAAGGATAAACCGGTCGACAGGAATCATATATAACCAGATGAATATACAGAGTAAATGATCCGTAAATATTTTAAATAAACGCAAATTTCACCTATATAAGCCAATTCTTTATAGTAAACCCCCCAATATTTACGACAGTACAAAAAACATTTCAAACACTAGTGAACATGATTTTGGGTAAGCCACCTCACTCTTCCTTTGTACAGATGTTTATACAAGTGTACCATGCATCGTGTTCCTCATAAGGATGGACTTTGTATCATCGCATTTTTTGCTGTGTTTACTGCTATACAGTGAACACCTGGTGGTGCTCCAACACCCGAGTCTCCGTTGACTGAGCCACAGATGATGGAGCTCAAGTCACAGTTACATGACGTAGCATGAGTTACTCCAGACTTTGGTGTGTACAGAACCGTGAGCACGTGCCAGGTAGGTGTTAAACTTACAGCTGATTGTTAGAAATATCCCCTGTGTTGACAAGCTGGAAGGAAGTTACCTGCTCGTGACTCACCTGTCGCTTCAAACATGTATTAACTAATTATACCCAGGGATGACAACTGATGATTTTATCCTCAAACTAATAAAGAGCTTTGGAGCACACGGATCTTATTTTCTCAATAACTAACACACACACACACACACACACACACACACACACACACACACACACACACACACACACACACACACACACACACACACACACACACACACACACACACACACACACACACACACACACACACACACACACACACAAAATTCATGTAATATATATGTAATCGCTAGAAAATATAGACATAAAAAGACCCAAGAGCTTTCGTGACCATTCACATGTCGAGGGAGGACGACAGGAGTCATAATAAGTATATGTTTAGAGTCCCGGCCAGCAGCTCGCGTGAGGAGGACCTGCCTCTCATGGCGTCTCTCACTCTCCGAACACATACAAGTCAATTCTACAGTACCATGAGAACTTGGCCTAACTTGTGTGTTTTGTCTGTACATTAAACTGCAAATAAATAGTAAACTGCATTAATTTCATCAGCAGAAAATTATCAATACTTATGATAGTACACCCAAGTGTGCCTGGCTGCTTGTTGAATTGAAACAGTTTATTTACCCAGAAAAACACAGATACAGAGTGGATAATAATAACAATATTAACATGGCTGAGCCAGTTGAGAACCTGAGCTCTCTTTTAGGCACCTGATATATACTATACATTTATCTCAAGGAAGTATTATGTAACATTTAGTAACATCTGGAATAGTATAATAGCATGGTGGTAATAAGAACATCTCATAATGTTACCACGGTTATCACTTCAATATTTATTCATTTTATTTATTTGTTATTGATTCATTTTTTTAGCTATTTTTTCTATTTCTATTTTAAGTATATACATATATTACACCGGAATTGAAAAACATAAGTATAATTGGGGAGCAGTACAACATGGGTTGTATAGGTATTGTATTTTAGTTCCCTTCAACCGTTTCGTGTAATCTGAGGTTTATAATTTTCCTGTCATTTTATTAATTTTGATATTTCGTTATTTCGTTATCTTATATGCCTCAGCATATTTTATTAAAAAATAACAAATAAAACATAAGATATATTTTGCTACCTTTTTGTCTTTGGTGATAAAACACGTCGTTCTGAAATTTAACCTGAACAGAGAAAACTGGGGACTTCAATAATAATGTTTTACCTGTAATATGCGGGTAACTACTAGGAAACAGAAGGACGCAAAGATTCAAAAGTTTTTTAGTTAAGACACTGAAGATGTGAATACTGTAATCTCCAAGGCGCATGAATCCCTCCGTGCTTCTGTTTCCAAATGGTTACCTGCATATTATATGAATCACGTCACCGCTGCGATTACTTCCGTATATACTGTTCTGCCTTGTCGATGTTGCAATAATTTAATTCCTAAAACTTAAGCTTGAATATTGTGTATGGCAGCAGGAAGGTTAATGTTGGCGGCTGGGAGAGTGTCGGTGTTAAACATTTGACTATCCCTGTGTGTGTGTGTGTGTGTTAAGTATTTTCCCAACAAACTCTAATTAAGATTGTAAATACCAAGTCGCCAAAAATAAATACCATTACTCTGTTTTTGAAAGGCATTTTCGTCATTACGTTCAATAACATAAAATAACCACCACCAACATATAATTGAAACTCACGGTAATTAATACGAGACACAATAGCACAGGTGTCAGCGAGGTATTTTCTCTCAGCCCTGGAAATCAACACAACACGGTTCATGGCAGAACGCGTGCGCCAAGTGGCGATGTAATTATTAAACTCGAGGCCATGAACCTTAAGTAACAAGTCAAGAGGCTTTCACTTGCCAGAAAAAACAGACACAAAAATAGGAGTCATTTTACTTTTGCTTTAGGAGTTTCGAAGTGAATCGTATACGTGAAAAAAATCAACATTTCTACTTTTTCCAGCAATTTATTTATTTGCTCATTATCTATTTTATTATTATTAACCGCTTAAATTGTGGGTTCAGAGTTAAGCCCCGTGGGCACGGGTGTAAAAATCCACATCATAGTGTTTTTGTTTTGTTTTCTCTCGCCTTTTAAGATGAGGTGAAGGAGGTCGTTGTGGTCAGGTCCTCGAGAGTAAGACTTTGTGGCTCCTCTTCATCATGAACGACCGAGCTGAACGTGTGGGTAATAGTGCATTAAACGTGCATATTCGAATGTCATGGGTCGTAATTGGCGGTACACAAGCACAAGCAGGAGAGTAGGAGGTGGTGTGTAGCGAGGTGGTGTGGGGGGGGAAGAGAGGGGGAGGTGGTGGTGGTGGGGGAGAAGGGGGGGGGCGGGAGTGCCATTAACGTTATTGACAGCATGGGGTTGTGAGTGTCGCCTCCTCGCTCGCCGCCGCTACCCAACTGATGACTTCATAATCTCTACAGCCTCTTGCACCTGTTAACATTCACGAGTTACAACCCTATAAAAAAGTTAAGCCTGTGTCGCATCTACACTGGTGGCTGGAGGTGTACTCGTAGGGACAACTTCCTCTTGTTGTTAGTTACGTAAGTCAGATTAACTGGTTTCAAACTGTCAAGACTAGTTATATGTAAAGCATCCAGTCTCACATCCAGTCTACAGCCTCACATCCAGTCGACAGCCTCACATCCAGTCTACAGCCTCACATCCAGTCTACAGCCTCACATCCAGTCTACAGCCTCACATCCAGTCTACAGCCTCACATCCAGTCTGCAGCCTCACATCCAGTCTGCAGCCTCACATCCAGTCTACAGCCTCACATCCAGTCTACAGCCTCACATCCAGTCTACAGCCTCACATCCAGTCTACGGTCTCACATTCAGTCTACAGTCTCACATCTAGTCTACAGTCCTACACCCAGGTTTTAATAACCAGTGCCCTGAGGCACAGGCAATGACCGTAATGGCGGCTGTATAAGTTAAAATGAATATCCGTAAAAATTTACTGTTTATTTTTTCTACCTAATTAACTTTGTCACTGGAATATACACATCAACAATGACCTTTCCGAAATAAAGAAACAATGCACGTTTATCAGCCTCAGCATCTATACCAGCAGGAGGAGCCTCAGCACCTACACCAGCAGGAGGAGCCTCAGCACCTACACCAGCAGGAGGAGCCTCAGCACCTACACCAGCAGGGCCTCAGCCTCAGCACCTACACCAGCAGGAGGAGCCTCAGCACCTACACCAGCAGGAGGAGCCTCAGCACCTACACCAGCATCAGAGGAGCCTCAGCACCTACATCAGCAGGAGGAGCCTCAGCACCTACACCAGCAGGAGGAGCACCTCGGCACCTACACCAGCCTGGGCAGGAGCCTCAGCACCTACACCAGCAGGAGCCTCAGCACCTACACCAGCAGGAGGGCCTCGGCACCTACACCAGCAGAGGACCTCGGCACCTACACCAGCAGAGCCTCAGCACCTACAGCAGCAGGAGGAGCCTCGGCACCTACACCAGCAGGCCTCAGCACCCACACCAGCAGAAGACTCAGCACCTACACCAGCAGGAGCCTCAGCACCTACACCAGCAGGAGCCTCAGCACCTACACCAGCAGGAGGAGCCTCAGCACCTACACCAGCAGGGAGGAGCCTCGGCACCTACACCAGCAGGGCACCTACACCAGCAGAAGAGCCTCAGCACCTACAGCAGCAGGAGCCTCTGCACCTACACCAGCAGGAGGAGCCTCAGCACCTACACCAGCAGGAGCCTCAGCACCTACACCAGCAGAAAGAGCCTCAGCACCTACACCAGCAGGAGCCTCAGCACCTACACCAGCAGGAGGAGCCTCAGCACCTACACCAGCAGGAGCCTCAGCACCTACACCAGCAGGAGGAGCCTCAGCACCTACACCAGCAGGAGCCTCGGCACCTACACCAGCAGGAGCCTCAGCACCTACACCAGCAGAAAGAGCCTCAGCACCTACACCAGCAGGAGCCTCGGCACCTACACCAGCAGGAGCCTCAGCACCTACACCAGCAGAAAGAGAGCCTCAGCACCTACACCAGCAGGAGCCTCAGCACCTCGCCTCAGCACCTACACCAGCAGGAGCCTCAGCACCTACACCAGCAGGAGCAGCACATACACCAGAGCCTCAGCACCTACACCAGCAGGAGCCTCGGCACCTACACCAGCAGGAGCCTCAGCACCTACACCAGCAGAAAGAGCCTCAGCACCTACACCAGCAGGAGCCTCAGCACCTACACCAGCAGGAGGAGCCTCAGCACCTACACCAGCAGGAGCCTCAGCACCTACACCAGCAGGAGCCTCAGCACCTACACCAGCAGAAAGAGCCTCAGCACCTACAGCAGCAGGAGGAGACAGGAGACGCTTCGTATTTATTCTCACTGGCATTCCTCGGTGCTACTTGATTTCCGAAGTATATTATTTTGTTGTGTTCCTCAGTACGTAGACTTTTCGATAAACATTGACACTCTTCCCTATATAGATGCATTACCCTGTACACGTAAGCCCTTTGTTCAAATCCTGTACAAAATTTTCACTATACAGATAATCTTTTTCTATTGTACACAGACACTCTTCCCTGCACAGTGGCATTTCCCTGCGCAAAAGAACCTTGTCGTGCACACAGACCACCCGGGTCAGGAGTGAGTGATACACACCCTCCTCAGCTGGACAACACTGTCACCCACCGCCCACCCAGGAGGGAGAGACACGGGAACAGGATATCTCTCGCGTCCCGTCAGTAGCGGGTGATCCTTCTTGCCAGAGTCAATAGGATACTGTCAGGGGTGGCTGGTGGGGTGGACGTGACGGAGACCAAGGGCTCTGGAGTATTCGAATTTATGTTGTAAAAACTTCAGCCTAAGGTTATGGGCATTGCAGTGATCTCTTGATACCTCATGAGTACTCCCGCTTGTAATCTCGAATAACCACCGAGATACAGACACGCAGACTGATGCAATTAATTATACCCCCCCCCCCTCACCCATCAAGCACACGTAGCCGGAGGGGCAGTAAAAAACATTCCATAAACAGAGGCCCTGTAAACTATACATGTTTATATACTGCAGAACAATATTTATACGTGAGTTGGGTTCAGCTGGTCAAACTACACGGGGGAAGAGGTTAACAAGTCCGTGATTCAGAGAGAAAATTTAAGTCTTTCATTCTCGTGTTCATGCATCAGGCGTTTGGTCGGACGGACGGACGGACGGGCACGCACGCACGCACGGACACCTCTCTCGCTCTCTCGGGAAAGTTGAGCCATTTAATTTGCTCACATTTGTGGCTGATAATGGCGATGCCCTCCCGGGTGTATGCGTTGCTCCAAAGAATAACAAGACCTGTTGCTGCCGCTCGTCACGCCCAACAATTTAGAAACTGTTTGTTTTCCTAAAAGTGTTTACAAATGACTCAATCCTCGACTATTTGCGGCAAACATTGTACGTGAGGCAACAAAGAGAGGATGGAGGAGGAGGTGAGCCAGGGGTGGCCCCGGGGGTCACGCGAAAGACTACCACACGGGTCACGAAGGGGTGGACCAATAGAACTATAGACTCAACTTACTAAACAGTGGTATTACAAAGATAACTTCTAAGACACCAACGGAACTCAAAAATTAAATTAGCTTTATAAACAATGGTACTGCATAAATATAAAAATTTTCTATAGGGAAACATCTTGGTATTCAAAACTAATTAAATTACCAGGAAATTAAAAAAAAAGTATAACAGAAAACAAAGAACCCATAAAGAAAACTGAAAAAATAACAAAGTATAGGCGATAAAATAATTAAAACGTAAATAAAACGACGGAAAACGATGCTCAAATTTAAAACATAATCTATTGCGTCAACTTATATAAGAAAATAGTCAAAAAAATTAAGCACCAACACCACACACAAGGAAAGTATTTAAGCGGCAGAGAGACAGGTGTGATTCCTCCTGCCTCCGACACGCTTCACTGTCACAAGAAAAAGGCAGAACAACGTTAAATCATCAATATGTTTGGTACACACCTTCGTTGTTTACACCTTCTGGTTCTGGGTAATAGTGGGCGAAATATTAGAAAAAAAGGAACTGATATCTGTACTTGGAAAAATATAGTGTTAAAATATCAAATCTTCCTTGATGGACTTCCGCGATGCAAAGAGCTTCTGGGTAATATTGAGTAAGATCTTAAAATAAAGGATAATGCAAGTAATATGTAAAAAAAAAAACTTACCTCAAAATGAATGTTGTCTTCTTGGCGGCAGCTGAGCGTGGCGGCGTTGTTGACATTGCTCACTGTTTTGTTGCAGCTTCCCTGTTTGTTCCTTTTCTTCACACATTTACTTTTCGTTTCATTATTCCTGTCTTCCTCATCACTCACAAACAGCCCCATCAACCATTTTTCAATTTCGACTGTCATCACTGGTAACTGTACACTGGAGGTGTGCCCGAGACGTCTACAGCGGGGTGCGTCATCACTGCACCCGTGTTCCTGCACCTTTACGTCATCGATGCTGTGGTCCCGAGGCGTGACGTCATCGATGCTGCAGTCCCGAGTCGAGGCGTCATCGATGCACCAGTAGCGAGGCACGACGTCATCGATCCTGCCACAAGCCTGTATATTGACGTCATCGAGCCCATGTGCCGTGACGTCATTCAAGCAGCGCTGTCGAGGCGTGATGTCATCTAGGCAGCGATGACGCGGGGTGACGTCATAGTTATGATAGGGATGAGGGCGGAGGGAGTGAAGAGGGAGGTCCCCCCCGAAGCACGCCTCCCCTCCACCAACATCATGACTGCCACTTCCACATCCCGGCAGCGCCTTATTACCATGCGCGCCACGACCCTCACACAGCTGATTTTGGTGGGCTTGGTAGTGACATTCGTCGCTTATCTCATTAATGCAAGACGGCGATTCATCTGGCGCCGCCCACCCTCCTCCTCTTGTGTCCATGATGTCATACGTGTCCCTGACCTCACCTCCAGCCGCCGTCACACCATAACACGAGATGTCACACTGATACTGGACACTCCGTTCCTCCTGCCACGCGTGTCCAGCTTCACCGCGATCAACACCTGAGGGTGCTGCGAGTGGTTCATTATACAGATAACAACGTGCGGTGGGGTGGGTTCCCAGGTGGTTTTGTCCCCTCGGGTGGGTTACCAGGTGGTTTTGTTTACTGGGAGGAGCCAGCTGGTTATGTCCATCTGGGTAAGTAAACAGATGGCTATGTCTCTTAGAGTGAGGTGTCAGGTGGTGGTGGTGTCCATTAGGGTGGGTTATCAGGGGGTCGTAGTTCTTGTTGTGGGTTGTAAGGATTGGGTGGAGGTGGGCAGGTTGGGCGGGTGGGTCAGGATACCCACAGGAGGGCGGCAGGCTGGGGTTGTCCGGCAGGATCTCACACGACATGACTGTTGAGGTTGGCTGCTGGCTGACTGCTAATCACAACAGATCATTCACTTTTCTCTCTCTATCTCTCTTTCTCTCTCTCTCTCTTTCTCTCTCTCACTAGTTTCTCTTTTTCCTCGATCTCCTTCACAACCTGTTTCGTTCCCGTTCATAATCACTCTCTCTTAACCTCTTCTTCAAATCCCTTTTAGATTTTCAAGACGTTTATGGTCACTATTTTCGAATCTCTATCGTAAATGTTTAAATTAATTTATCACCCCAAATTACACTTCTTCGTCATATCACAAACTCTTTCACAAACACATTTCATGAGCATAAACATTTTTCATCACAATTTCACTCATAAACTACAGACTCGATTCAGAATTTAAATATTCAATACTTTAATATCTGTAAAGTAAAGCAGGGAAAGGAGATATAAATATTCAAGTCTATAAATCGTCTCTTTCAGATATGTAACTCCGGTATACAGTTCATAATTCCTCTCCGCCCGCACGCACACACGAGGACGCACACACGCACACACAAATCTGACCCTGACGAATGAGGAAATAAGGAAAAGGTAAGAAAATTAAATTAGATAAAAAAATAAAAAAATCAACGAGGAATGCAATGACTTTTAAAAGTATATTCAGCGCCATGTCCCGAATACAGGTAATACTTAGAAAAACAAAAATATCTTCTAATGTTAACACGACAACTACGGTTTGACTATTAAGCCACGAGCCCACCACTACGTCTGATGAAGCCAGTAATAGTCAACGAGGTGGAGGTGGCTTAGGTTTAATGAAACATGTTTAATGAAGAAGGTTTAACGAGTGAGTGAGCATTTACCTAGAGTTAATATTAATCACCTAACCTAATACGGTAAGATTTAACAGGATTTAAATTAAGAACTGGCGAATTCATTACGAGTTATACAGTGTAAAGGATTTAGAGCGAGGGGCGTTCAACGGGGCTTTGCGTAATATAGCGTAGCTGGGATTTATAAGGACATGAGTGAAAGGCGTAAAACTTAGACCTGCATATTCTATAGAGTAAGGGAGTGTAGGGGCGGGAGGGAGGGGATAGAGGAGGAGGGAGAGGGTGAAAGGGAGAAGATAGAGGCGAAAGGGTGTTGGGAAGAGAGTGAGGGAGGGAGGGAGGTGATAGGGGAGGGAAAGGGTGAGATAAAGGGAGGGAGGTAGGGAAGGGAGGGGGGCGATAGATGAGGAGGTAAAGGGTGAAGGTGAAGAGATAGGGGTACAGAGGTAAGGTAGGGAGGGAGTGAGGGAGGGAGGGAGGAAGAGGAGTGAGGGTTGACTACCAATTAAGAGAGAGTGGGAACTGAGTCAAGGCTTAGGGGCTGATAGGAGAAAGGAGTGGGGGTAGAGAGTGGGGACAAGAATGAGAAACCATGAGAGGGAAAGAAGAGTAAGGGGGACTAAAAATAAAGAAAGAGGAAGAAGGAGGGGTGGGAAAGTGAAGAGAATGGAAGAGAGAATGAAAAGAGAATGATCAGAAATAGAGGGAGAAGGATAGCGTGGAAGGGCTGTCTGGAAGGAATGAAGGGAGGAAAGGAGAAAGGAGGAAGGAGTGTGTGTGTGTGTGTGTGTGTGTAAGGTCCGGACCCGAATGAAGGAAAGAAGCTAAATAAAGAAAAAATAGGGAAGGAAGAACAAAATATAAAAGGAAAGATTGAGAAAGGTAAACAAGGAAATAACTCAGAGATCTCACAATTGTCTGTCCGTTCCATGATTGGTCGTGTGTCCCATCCCAGTGTTCGTGTGTCTCATATCCCAGTGTTTATGTGTCCCATATCCCAGTGTTTATGTGTCCCATATCCCAGTGGTCGTGTGTCCCATCAATAAAGGCACGTGTTTTTACCCCTCACGCGTCCCATCCATCGCCATTAAACTGTTCATTGAAGCAAGAAATAATAAGATTTATAATAATAAGAAGAAAAAAGGCGACTTCTATAATCTATATAATTATTATTTTTTCCCTTAGGTAGTGTGACCATCCACGA